TTGAATGTCATCCTCTACGCTGCCTGATTGATCAGTTATGTTGAAACAACACGTGCCTTCAAAATTGGAGTAGTGTTTATGGTGTTGAAGAAGGAGATAGTCCACCACCAATTGATTTTGTAATGTTCCTTGGTGTACAGCTGTTACCTAATTGGAAAAAATAGCAATGAGGAACATTAATATCAAAAGCACTTAGCACAGTATAATTCTGTAATACAGCTACTGGGGCTGGCATGCCAATGAAACACATTGTCAAAAGATCTGCAGCTGTTAGTCATCCCTCAGCAGAGGCAGATGAGTTAGTTACAATAGAGGCCAACCAAATCCAAGTATTTACATGTTGATCAGCTCCTTTAGCTAATATCACTCTGGATTTTATAACCTGATGTGGAGTAATTGCTCACACAGATTGAAGAGCTATGGTTTGTGTTTTTCAGATTGAACTTCAATTTAATGTTGGGTTCGCTATGCCAGTAACACCATTCCAGTGCTATCTCCTCCAGATAAGGTGCAGGTATTCGTTGTGATACTTGAAATATATGAACTGGAGAATGTGATATCACTAGAGGATGCAAAATAAGAGCATAATTTGGAGTACAGAACCTTATGGCATTCTCAGAGGTTATTATATGAATTTTCACATCTAGGCTAATAGGCCATGGTCCCACCATGCAATCCATCAGTGCAAACAATTCCATTTCCCCTGTAGTTAATATTTGGGAGAGATACCATCTGGAAGAATTTTAATCCTCACCATGTTTTGTACTGGAGGTATTGTAATACAAACATAGGGTGTCTGGTTATGAATATTCTGGCTATTTAACAAAAAAAAAAAATCTGCTTTAGAAAGATGTGAACTCCAATGTTGTAAAGTTTTAGTAGTGGTTAGCTTTTTAAATTATTTGTTTAACATTCCATTCATTCTTTCAATCAAATCATTAGCCTAGGGATGGTTGGCAATGTGGAATATCCAATCTATCCCTAGCCCTTTAGCCTGATCTTGGACAATATGGCCACTAAAGTGTGCTCCTTGGTCACTTTGTGTTTGGTAAGCAGGTCTGCGCTGGTGAATGAGTTGTTCTAAAGCTTCAGTTGTGCTATGTTTATTAGCATATTTGGTGGGTTTAGGAAAAAACAGTTCTGACACTATCCACAGCAGTGAATACAGATCACCACCCCCCTTGACAAGGGCAAGGGGCCCATGTAATCGACCTGCCAGGTATTCAAGGCCCATCGACCCTGTTTTCTCTTTCCCCATGGCCTATATAATGCCCCTAAATGTAGCTGCATACAAATAGTACAATTATGTACACATACCTTCCAGGGTTGTAAATTTTTGCTGTTTTTTTTTCTATAAGAGTAACCATGTCTGGTACCATAACTGCAAGTAGCGGGGGTGTGATTTTTTAAAATTCTTTATAATCTACAGTCATTCGCCAGGTGCCATCCGGTTTCTGAACAGGCCAAATAGGATTATTAAAAGCAGTCATGGTTTCTTTAACAATTCCCACTTGTTGAAATGCCTGAGTAGTTTGAGAAATTTTCTCCTGTCCCCCTGGCATACAATTCTGTTTTACAGCTACCACCTCAGCAGGAACAGGCAACACAACAGGATCCAGCTATGGGAATCCAGCAAGATGGTTAGAGATTGAATAGCAAATCCCACTTGTGAAGTCCCGAAGAAGAACTGACCATTTAAAGTTTCCACTGTTCGTCCTGCCAACACCTCAATACCCAAAATCTAATCTTTAACTGGGGCAATTAACACCATTGTCATAAATGGAGTGGCATTTTCTAGTGTTAAGGTAACCTGATCTCGGAGGGCAGGGTATGGATTTCCCCCCAATCCACAGAGCTGTAATGTGTCATCTTTATTATTAGTATTACTATGTAATACAGTAACCTCAGTTCTAGTATCCAGCAAGGTTAACACATATAAATCCCCGCAGACAGCCACTCTATAGTTAAAGGAACACAGGGACATTGTTCCCCCTCACAGTAAGAGGCTACAGTTGCAGCAATTTTGGGGATGTGCCAAACCTTCATTTCTGCTGTTTTGGCATTTGCCAGGTAGTGTCTTGCCCTGAGGTGGCAGGCAGGGTGTCTTAGTTTGGGCTGAAATAGAGTTAATATTCCTTTTCAGGGACTAGATGAGTGCTGTATTTTGGATTTAGCTTTGGGTTTGGTATGGGAAAAATGCTGACAGCACACTGATGTTTTCAGCTGCTGCTGAGACTTCAAGGACTCTCCGACTCCCCATGTCCTGCCCGTGCGCAAGGGCACAGGGAGCGAGCACGGCCACAGCACCTGACCCTAACTGGCCAGTGAAATATTCCATATCATGGCACGTCATGCTCACTATATAGAGGAGGGGGGGTCAGGAAGGGGCTCTCTAGCTTCCCGGATTGCGACTATGGGATCTTGGTATCTCGGGGTCGCTGGCCGGGAACGGGCTGGGGATTGGTCAGCGGGTGGTGAGCAATTACGCTGTACATTGCCTGTTTATATATTTCTTTTTGTTTTCCTCCTATCATCATTATTGTTCTCGTTTTATTGCCATTATTAAACTGTTCCTATCTCAGCCTGCGAGTCTCCCTTCACCCCGCTAATCCCCTCCCCCATTCCCAGGTGGGGAGGGGGACGGGAGGGTGACCACCTGCGGGGGTTGGGTGCCGATCAGGCCCAAACCACAACACAGGGGTGGAGGGCGGGCACAGAGTTGGTGGTGGGGCCTGGGGCAGTTGGTTTTTTTTCATAGGCATTAGATTTTGCCATCAGCGAAACACTTCTGATGTTGTAATCCCATTTCTTTCCGAGTATGGGACACCAGCTTGAACAGGATCGTTCCACATTCGTTTCCTCTTTATACATAACGTAACTCCTTTCAGCTTTCCCCCTTTCCTTTCTTCACCACCCATACAAATGGTCCTGAAGTTACAGCCCCAATTTCCCTCAACGTATTTGCTAGGGTGCCTACATTACCAGTAGCATTTGTGACTGCTGGTATAATCAAGGGTTTTAGTGAGGTAGGCGCTCCTCTCAAAAGCTGGATGTTTACAGTCCTCCTCATCAATCTTCCCTTATTTTCCTACAATCAGCCATAAAGGCACTGAGGGAGTTCTACCAAAGCTTCGCGGACCTTGCCCAAGCATCTGAGGAAGAGCAGCTCCAGACCTGTGTCTTGGCTTCTTCCTTGGTCTCAGTGCTGAAGGGGCTTCCTTTGGCACAAAGCACCTCCAAACACTAGCTCAGGTTAGTCTGTATTGCTGGCAGGGTGCTCTAGGTTACACCCACAATAAAATACAAAGCATCTATGAGTATAATGCCTGAAAAATGATACTAGCACATTTGTGGTTTAATGCTAGTTTGCTATTGCAGCAAGGAAAACCTAGGTGTGGTCAAAAGGCAGTGTTATGTTTGCAAAAGATGGCAACGGAGGATGTGGCCTTGAGAAATCTAAATATCTTGAGATTTTGAGCTACATATATGCCTGTGTCTCTGACTCTCTTAGCATCCCTGGCCAAATGCTGCTGGTCTAAGAAGAAACAGAACAGTGTTAAGCATTGCAGAATATTTGCATGTTAACAGACATCTCTGAGGGGATTCTGAAAGGAAAGGGGTCCATGAAGGGAGACCGCTCTGAAAGGAGCAGCTTTCTCTAAAAAGGGGGTCTGTTCATTACTAATGGGAATTAAAGCCACAGAACCCAAGATACGTGGAGAAGAAATCAAGGAGACAGATGAAACTTGACAGCTGTAGTAGATGCAAGACAGTGTAACAATGCAGCAACATCATGCTGTAAAGGCCTCCTGGCCCAACAGACCACTCACACACCAGCCTACTTATTAATTGTCAATGTTTCATCTTAAGCAGCTCGGGTTATTTCGCTCTACTTGGAGGTGCAAATGGCGAGAAATCTCTGAAGCTGTCTACCATTCACCCATAGCCCCAGCTCCTCTCTCTTTGTTCTGTGATTTTCTTTCTTCGAAGGGAAAGGTTGTAGCATGGACATTCAGCTGGTGTGTCAATGACCTTTTCATACACTGCTATCATCCTCATACAGATACCTCCCCACTAATGGAGTACTGGTACCCAGACTTTGTCCTGTGCAGAGGAAGGGGAAGCAATGACATGTCTACAGAACCTGACAGGAGGTCTAGCAGTGTGTAATCTAGAGCTAGCCCACTTTTCCTGTCCCTGGGGCTGACCCGTGGATCCTGGTTCTCCAGGAGGACAGGTGAACAGAGCTCTAAGTGAGGACGTGAGGCACTCCACAAGTTGCCCCTGTATCAGCTTCAGAAATGGCTCCCCAAGCCACTGAGCAGCTCACCAGAACGGGTGGGCTGATGGGCATTACCATCTCTCAACTACCCAGGCACATCTCATGTTCCCACAGAATAAACAGACACCAGGGCACTAGTTCCTTATTACTTTATGGAGCTGATGTATTCAGCAATCAGTGACCCTGGCACTGGTGGCACGTCACGAACACTCCATACAGTACAAGCGCTTCACGGGGCACCACCCCTTTCCTCACCGCTGCAGCAGGAAACGCTTGGCTGCCTCAGCCTTGAACGCTTAGGCACCAGCACCTGGCATGGCTGGTTCCAGTCAGGGGGCAGCACCTCCCCACAGCAGTGGGCACCAGCACCCGCCACTTTGTCAGGGGCCACAGAGGTGGTGGGGCAAAGGGCCACGAGGGTCATGCCGTTCTGTGGGGAAGGGAAGAGCCAGGCTGCCACAACAAGCCTCCGGCATCAGCAGTGCAGGAGCAGCAGGCTCCAGTCTACACCAGCCTTGCAGGGCCATCCTGCCCTCAGGGCCTGGTGGGCACCTTTGAGGGTCTGAGGCACGCTCACCCTGCCCTTGCTGGTGATGGGGCAGGCCCTGGACAGCCAGCCACAAGGCAGAGGCACTGCAGCACCATGGGCTGCACAATGATGGATGACCCGCACGGGGGCCAAGCCCGACCTGGCGCAACAGGAGTACAGTGCAGGGACTGGCATGTCAGAATGTTTATTAATAAAAAAAGTAACAATAACTTACTGCCTTTGTCACACAAAGGGCTAGGTATAAAGAGCTCTGGCCTCCTAAGGTAACACTGGTAAGTGAGAGGTTGGTACTTTTCTCTTGTCCTCCGAGACAGTGGCCTTCTCCTGTCCCCAAGGGGAAGTGCAGCCAGCACAGGAGCTACTGGCCACACGGGGCCAGGGTCATGGGGCAAGAGCCCTGCACCCCTGCCTGCAGCTGGTTTTCAGGCAGCACAGACCAACAAAGGCTCTAAATGCAGAATACATGGAGACCCTGGGCACTAGATGCCAGAGGGTGTGCAAGCTGCAGTGGAGGAGGAGAGAGAAGTGGCTGCTTCTTCCCATAGTGCTGAGGGGTCTGTGGCCACAAGAAGTGAAGCAGCAGGACAGCAGTTGCTTACAGGCAGGGGGATGGGAGGCTGACTGGAAGCAGTCCTGCTTGCCCAGCTGCTGCCTCACACAAGGTCTAGCCTGGCAGATGCAGGAGGCCAGCTGTGGCTACTTGTCACACTCCAGATCCTGGCTCCCCTCAGCACCCTGATAGTGCATCTCACAGAACTCCTGAATGCGACTGCAAGCCTCCAAGATCATCTCCTCAGGCACGGTGATCACCACACGGAAGAAGTTTGGGTACTCAAAACACTGAAATGAGAAAGGTTGAAGATGACAGATTACCTGGGATAGTGCTGCAGTTTCAGAGACTTGCCTTGGTGCCGTGTGCTGCGCCAATGAGTGAAAATGGTCAGTGTAGGACAGCAGGGCTAGGCTCTTGCTCCCTTTGACATTTTTTATGTTCCAGTCAAGTCTGTGTAGACATGATGCTGTGAGGGTGACAGGACAAAGGACTCTATGGACTATGCAGGGCCCAGGGAATAGGCCGGAAGGAGATAAGGAAGAAGGCAGCTAGAGAGGATCCAAGGTCCCATCCATATTCAAGGCTGGAAGTGGAGCTGGAAGGAGGTTGGGCACATATGTTCTCAGCTTGTAGTCCATCCCTGTGCCTACAGGGGTAGGGGACTGGAAACAGGGTAAAGAAAGGAACGTAGGTGGGAACAGTCCTGGGCCTCTGAGGCAGCAGCTTCAGCAAGGAGGTGTAGGGGTACATAGGGTTCGGGGGTACAGCTCTGCCAACTTGAGAAATACAGAGCAAGCCTGAAGCTGGGAAGATTCTGGCAGCTTGACTGAGGGGTGTTAATATGCCAGAGACTGCCTGTCCCCATGCCTACACACAGCACTTGGAGCTCGCAGCTAGCACATGCACACCATTACAGAACATGAACACTGCACACACCTCCCAGCCTGTTCCCTGGGCTCAAGGCTGCAAACCTCTGTTGCTTCCCTCCCCATGCTTTGGCCCCACAGCTCCCTGGGGCTCTCAGTGTTAGGCTCACCGTGGCTGGCAAGCAGAATACAGACTGCTCCGAGATGAGTCGCTCAGTGAACTCCACATCATTTTCAAACTCAGGGAAATGCTCCATCTCAATCTCAACCTGCAGCAGAGGGATGCAACATGGCAACCAAGGGCCCCGAAACTATCTGCAGTGTCCCTGCTTACCCACATGGCCCCACAACTTTCCAGTCAAGTGCAGCTGTCTGCCCTCAATTTTTGCTCATGATTGGGGCTGACTGGAATGGAAGACACAAACAGAAACATATGAACAAAAATTCGGGGTTCTTTAAGAAGTATTCATTAACTACCTAAAGCTAGAATTTCAGGGAAGGACAACTTTAGTAAAAAGGACATTGGCAAAGATATAATAACCAACTACAAGTGAAAAGCAATACATAAGATATTGAAAAAGAGCTTGAGAGAGAATTCTAGTCAATACGTATTAAGAATTCTATCATGCAAGAAATCCATATGGTAAGAAAAAGACAAGAAAGATAGCAAGATCTAGAATATCATGAACAAAATAAATCCTTGTAGGATGATACAACTGGTAAAAATGACACTGAAATCTTCAATAAATATTTATGTTCTGTATTTGGAAAGGAGGAAGCTTTCCCTTTATCACATAAAGACAGTGATATCCTGGCCATTTGTTTATTACCAAAGATTATTTTAAATATCTCATGAAGATATTCTTGAGCAAACCAGGTGAGAGATAATTTGCATGCAGAAGTTCTGAACGAGCCAGCGGGAGGAAAATTTTACTAGATTATTTAGTTTTAAATAAAAGTTCAGATACTGCAAAAATACAGTAGGTGTGAAAGAATCTTGGAGCTGTGCCTCTACACAAAGAGCCTAAGCAGAGTGACCTGTGTAGCTCTGGGTAAGACTGCAGACAAGGTCAACTGATAAAGACTTGTCTATAGGACACGAGTGAGACTGATCTTGCAGTATTCTCCAGTTCTGAGTCCACATTTTTAAAAGCTGATGAAAAACTGGAGACACTATGAAACAAACAAAAATACAGATTAAACGTGTTATACTTAAGAGACTTAAATGTCTCAGTTGAGCTTGTTGAAATGAAAAAGGAAGTTTCACCACATCATAGAATTTTTTTTTTTTTTTTAAAGTGATGGAAAAAGGCAGAAAAAGAGACAACAGCATAGGCAGAAGACAGACATGCTAATAGGAAGAAGGCTACATCTTCAACAGGAGGCATGATAATCTGACTTGTAGTGAAGAGGCTTCCCATTGCCAGATGGCTTCAAATCCAGGTAAAACAACATTGTTTCGCAAAGTACAAGTCGCTGATTTCTGTGCAGAGCAAGTGGGTGAAATGGACCGGCCTCTGCTATGTGAGAAGTGAACAACATATTCTGGCCTTCTAAAGTGACCTGTAATGACACCTGCAGTGTCTACTGCACAGGGCACTGTGAAAATGCATGGTAACAGAGACCGGGAGCCAAGCACCAATCTGAAACCATTGACAAGCACTGGCAAGGAGACTTAATGTGAGTGCTGATGATCTGGAAATGGCACGTCACTTTCCTTGCTTACCATGAGGTACATGGCTCCAGTGGGCCGGACAGGCTGAAGGCCAGGGATAGCTGATAAGGCAGCATAACAAAGGTCAGCATTGGACTGAAAAGCAAAAAGGAGAAATTTCAAAACAGGAGAAATTCCAGGAAGCAGCTCAGCAAATGGAAGCCAAGCTCTGGACTGGGACCATAAACAGGTTTGCCCACTGCAAATAAAAGGACAACAAATGCAAACAGCATGGGTGATCATGGCCTTGAGTACAGCAGGAGTGACTGAGCTGAGCTCAGCAAGTCAGTGCCAAACATCCCATCCCCTGGGTCACCAGCTCCAGCTGCAGGGCTGGGCTGCCTGAGACTTAGCACAGCCAATATTTCTGACCCAGTTACCATGTCTCCTGCTGGAACTGGATTTGTTGGGCTCTCCTAGTCACAGCCAGAACTGCACCTTGAAGCAGGGTGAGGAGAGCGACGATGAGCTAGGGAGATGCGACTCTCTCCAAACAATCCATAAACAAACTGTGCTGACCTGATACAGCCTGTTTACCTTGAGAATGCTGAGGGTGTTGTGGTAGAACTCAGGGGGTGTTCGGTGCAAGATATGTTCCAGTGCTCCTTGAACAATTGTACAGGGTCCTAGGATCCTCTGACTTAGTCTTAGAAGGCCATCCCTGATCTGAAAAAACATGGTGATATTTGCAGCTCAGACTGTGCTTCTCTAAAGGAAAGGGACAGCTCCAAGGCCTACTCTCTGTATTCCTACAGCTGTTCACATCCATCTCTTCAGTGAGCAGAGTACTAAAGAACATTTGCTTGGCTGTATACCAGGTATTTGCAGACTATTTACAGTGTCATTCTCTGTTCCTCAGTTGCAGATTTTAATGCCAGAGACAACCTTTGGAGCTTCCCAGACTCAAACCAGGCTGGTATATAGCTAATACAAATAAAGCGAGAGCTGCTCTAAATACCACTTTGCATTTCCCTTAGGTTTGGGCTCACTATCCACACTTTCAAAGCCAGGGAGGGACAACCAACATTAGCTCTTCTGCTCTGCTCAACTCCTATTGGTCCTCTCTTCTCCCTCTTCCTCTGCAGAAAGCTCTCTAGGTGGAAAGGTCACTGCAGATTATTCTTGTAACACAGTTGAACAAATAGCCGGCTAAAGCACTGGCAGCACTGCAAGGTGTTTTGTTCTTACTTTTAAGAGAAACCATATAAGAGCACATAAAGACGACTCATGGACTCCACATGCTGGATAAGCCATGCAGTACCTTCAGTGCACAGCAGAGCTACTTGAGAAGGACTTAGACACACGCAAAAAGGACAAGGTATATATGAAGGAGCAGCAGAGACAATGAGCGTGTTACAGTGTTGATGTGGGTAGAAGGCCATGTACGGGAGCAGATGGAGTAAGGAAGTGACATGAAAAGGCCAGAGGTGCAGAAAAGCACGTAAGCAATTGGGTGACACCCATGTGAGAGCGAAAGAGCAGTAAATGCCTGTATCAGTTAAAGCCCTGGTGATCCACACACTGAAGACACTGCAGGTCTGTTGCTGTGACAGCAACACTCAGCAGTTCTCACCTCATTACCAAAGATATCTCTCCTGTCATGAATTAGGATCCAGCCCATTCGCCAGCCAGGGACTAGCCACCGCTTTGCCAAGCCACCACAGGACAAGATTGGCACGTTGGTGCTGAGAGTTGCAATGGGTTCATACTTGCAGTCAGCAAACACCTGTGACAGAAGGCTGTGTTAGGGATGTCCCTGCCTCTTGCTCCGAGAACTGTGGGGATATACATGAGGCACAACAAGGGAGGCAAAGAAATTATGGGAATTGATGGTGAAAGCTCCCAGCTTCAAGGTATGAACACGGTAACTGCACTCACATGAAAGTGAGCCAAAGAGGAAAGGAGCTGGGCATGAGAGGTACCCCTAGGACTGCACAGCAGAGGACTGGGAGCTCCAGGCATGGACCCAGGCACAATATAGGCAAGTGGAACTGTCACTCACCTCTGGAGACCTTGCTGCCATGGCCAAAGCACAAGTGCATCAGAAAGGACAGGCAGCATAGGGGTGCAAAGGACCGCAACTGACACTCACCATGTCTCCATAGATCTCGTCAGCAAGGATGGGCACACACTGTCTTGATGCCACTGTGGGAGAGAGGGCATTCAGCCTAGCCACCCTGCATCCTGCATGGGAGTGGACTTGCCCTTTGCTGCAGGGCCTGGCAGGGCTCTGAGGGAAGCTCTGTCCCAGGGCAGAGGGTCCCTATCTTCTTCCTACAGACAGTTCATTCTGTGAGCCCAAGCATTAGAGATCTCTGCCCTGGTTGAGTCTAGTTCTGCTCTCACCTGTGGGAGCAGGCAGCACGCCCCCCCGCAACAGGCCACGGCTCAGGAAGCATAGGGCTTCTAGTGAGCACTCTCTCTCTGTGGAGTCAGAGTGGAGAAATGAGCAGTCCAAGACACACAGAGCATTTGAGGAAGAGCAAGACACACCAAGTGTTCTTGCCCAGATAAGGCAACACTGTCACACTGAGCAAGCCCTGCTTTCTGAACTGCAGTCGGTCATGAGAGAAACAAAGCCCTGGGCCATGGTGCTGCTGTGATCAAGACATGGGCAATATGGGCAGACACCAGACTGCAACCATGCCCCAGACACACACAGGCAGGCTCACCTGCGAGGATCTTCTGGAGGTGGCTCTTGCTGAACACAGAGCCACAGGGGTTCGATGGGTTGTTCACAATGAGGCAAGCTGTCTTCTCATCTACCAGAGATTCCAAGTGCTTCAAATCAATTTCCCAGGCCTTCTCTGGCTAGTGAAGTGTAGAGAAGGGAAAGTAACAGCTGAGGAAGTGGATTTGCCACACAGGGTGAGGTGTGACAAGGTGCTCAGGGTTGCTCGGGTCGTCTTCACCCATTTCCCAGGCAGGGCCAGTGTATTTCTGAGAGGCAGAAATGTCAGGGCTGCCCCTTCCAGGCCTGCCACCACTTACCAACAAGTTGTAGAGTTTGACCTCAATCCCCATAGACAGTGCCAGAGTCTTGTAGAGGGAGAAGCCAGGCCGTGGCACCAGGATGTTCTGGCCAGGGTTGGCCAGCACTGCCAAGGCAAGCTCTATGGCCTGGCTGCAGCCACTCGTTAAGATGACATCCTGCAAAGAGCACACAGGAGTTCAGCAGAAAGCACAGCCACTCTGAAGTGCCCCAGCCACACGGGAGTGACATAATGCTCAGGCTCTGCCAGGCGAGAGCTTCTCAGCCAAGAAGTCAAGCCCAGAGCCTGACTGAAAGCTGGAAACCTCCAACAGCTGGAGAACTCAGTCTCCTGAGGAAGGTGGAGGAGAAGGACTCAGGACAGGGGATGAGGGCAGCAGGAGGCTGCTGTGGGGCAAGCCATGGGCTAGCCTTCAGTCCCACAGATAGGCAGGGGAGGAAGAAAGCTGGGGCAGGGCCCCCACGCTGTGTGGTCCAGACATGGGCAGCGTCACCCTGCCTGCAGGACAGTGGGAGTGCCTCAGCTGGGTACCAGTACCTGGGCCTTCAGTGGTGCCTCTGGGCAGCTGTAGTACGCGGCCACTGCCTCCCGGCAGGACTGGTAGCCTGGGAAAAGAGAAGCCAAACACAGAAGGGAGGTTTTCCCAGACTGTTTCCTTTGTCTTGCTAGTACAAGGCTCACAGCTGCCACCTAGCTGGGGTAAGCCTATTTGTTAGTGACCTTGTCCCAAGGCAGCAGAGGCTGTCCTGCCTCAGGCCAAGCACTGTACAGCCCTGAGGCTGGGCCAGGCAGGCCGAAAGCAGGGACAGATCCTGGGCAGCGAGGCAGACTCTGGCCCCAGCATGTCCTGGACACAGAACTGACAGGAGGAGGGTAGCCAGGGAACTGCTCTGAACCAGCGGAAGGCCAAATGGTATTACATGGCCTTCACTGTTTAATGGTGGCACGGGGTCAGCCCTCTCTGTCAGTAAACGGAATGTCCTGTGAGACAGGTTTGACCTAAGCTCTGTGCATGCTTTTTACACTAACTCCAAACAAGGCTCGTGTCTGTGAAGCCAAGGAGCCCAAGGGGAGTCCTTGTCAAGGCAGATCAGAAAGAAACTTGGCTGCAACCCATGGCAGGGAGACATAGTCCTGAGCCCTTCTGGGTGCCTGAACCCCTGCCTGTTCTAATGGCTGGGGGAGCAAACACAGCTTCTGCAGGAGGCTATGGGCCTCAAACAGTTCATGCAGTGAAGGGCACTCAGGTGTATCTGGGGGTACACATGCTTGCATGCTCACGGGACTGTTGGTGAGGGCAGCTGCAGGGTGCTATTGGAAAGATATCTGTGGGTTCCATATCCCTGCTGCAGTGTAGGACCTGGCATGTGCCTTCACCCTACTCTCACAGGAAGAGCTTTGTCAACTTACCAACAGATGGAGCATAACCGTTGTAACGTCCTGAGTCCAAAACCTCCTTAACAGCCCGTGTGACCTCATCATTTGTGGGAAGGTTTCCAAAGACCGTCGGGTCTCCTTTTCAAAGATTGAAAAATAGTGAAGTTTTCACTGATCTGTGCAAGCACAGATCTGTGTGGTTGTCTGGCCTACCCCTGGGTGTTTGGAGCAGCTTTGTGCTTCAGAGCCCTGCAATCTGCCAGCCACACAGTTGACCCCACTGCCCAGAGGCTTCAGCCACAGCACTATGCTCACCTAGAGACAAGGAGATCATAGCTTTCTTTGGGTTGGGCTCCACCTTCATGCTGTCTACGATGGCTCGGACAGGATTGAAAGTCTTCTTAGACATTTCAGAAGCTCTGACAGCCCATCTTGGCTTCCGGTCCTTCACCTTCCCCAGTGATATGTTGTTCCCATTGGTCTTGAGATGAACATCCAGCATAGGGGCATGATCTCCATGGCCATTCACTTGGATCAGGTACGAGTCCATCCTGAGACCTGTCAGTGCGAAGTGGATTTCCTGGGCTTAGTTAACACATGCCAAACAAGGGATCTGCTCATGTGGGGACATAGCCCACGAATCTCCAAAAATAAAACTTCAGAAAGCTGTAGACCCTACCTACTGCCTATGGACAACGCAGCAGCAGCAAGTAGAGATGTATTTGGGGCCAGGATGGAGTGAAACCCCACACATAAGCGAGAGCACAATGCAGTAGGAGAGATAAAAGCACCTCTTTGTACTTGCTGTACCACTGCCTATCATGGACTTGCTGTACCGAGGATCAGGCCCCGCTAAAGCCAGCGGCCAAGAGTTAGCAGCATGTGGTAATCACTGCTTGACTGCAGATTCAATGTTCCGCTGACAGAAGGGCCAGGTCACTCCCCTCCTACGCCCACCTATCAACTTGCACACCTTAAGCTGCAACCACAAGAATCAGCCCACTACATGTGTTCACACCTAGAACGTCCCCCTCCAGTCTGCAGACAGAAACGCAGCACCATTTAAATAAAATCTCAGATGCCAAAATGCTGGTTCTGGTCCTATGTTATTAGGATGCACTGGGCAGTGGCAGAATATTGGTTACAGACATTTGCCTCTGTCAGCAGAGCAACGGGGAGCAACAGCCCAGTCCACGGACCCCAGATCAAAAGACAGTGTTTATAAAACGAAGCAAGACTGGTACAGCCAAGAGGGAAATCAGGGAGCTGGCACTGCCCCAACCAAAGAGCCTGTACTCCAGCCTGAGGCTGGGTAACAAGCAAGGCACAGCAGAGGAACGGCTGCCTTCTAGGCCCCAAAATGCACACAGAAGTGACTTACACACCTCAGCATGGATACCCAGAGCACAAGTCAGACCCAGACAGCAAAAGCCTCACTTACAAACTGCTGCTCACTTAAGGCTTGCCACCTGCAGAAGGTTAGGGACAGAGCACAGGGCAGGCAGAGACCTCCTAAGCCACCAAGCCCATTCTTGCTGATACTGGCATACTATCTTGTAATCCTGCCACACACTACTTATGGTCTTATTTCTCTGCTCCACTAAAAGGCAATTCAGTGAACAGAGGCTTTTTTCTGATGGCAGTTACTTAGCCCCATGCTCGCAGATATTCACAACATATCTACCCTTTCTTGCTGCAGAAACTGAGCTGGAAGGGTTGTTGCATTACCTGGTTCTGGCAGGATTTGCCACCTGAACGAATTTCTCACTGCTTCAGTGAAGTTTGCACCTAGAGATGCCCCGTACTGCTGCATGTCTGGCCTACCCCTCTGCCAGGAGTCCCTCATTAGCTTGTTTAGAGCAACTGAGACTGATCTAACAGGGTCACAAAGCAAGACTTCAGCTTCTCTGCTGCTAATACCTCCTGGGTCTCCTTTCTACCAAAAGAAAGACAGCTGAAGAAGCATGCAGCAGGGCTGCATAAAAACTGATCAGAGAAGCGAGCCATATATCTCGGCTGAACAGCAGGGCTGAGTCCCAACTGTACAGTGCAGAGTCTACCCCAGCAGAGCTTTCACATCACACAGCAATATGGTTCTCATGCAAAGGGGAACTACAAGCACAACAGATGCCTTCAACATAGGCAGGCAGGGAAGATGTCCCCACTTCTCCCCCTGAAAGAAACAATGTACCAGAGCATAGCACTTTACCTTCTACAGCACAGAGAGGGAGACACCAAGAAGCCTGGGGGTCCAATCCCTACTTTTCATCCAGGACAAATCCCCTTGAGAAGAAATTCCTGCAAGTCCTTGCTGGTGAAATAAGCCCCAAAACTGGGCGTTAGGACTGAATCGTTTAGCCATTGGCTCACACAGAGGGCTGCTCTCCCCACCCAAAAACGCCCTCTCCTCCCCAAGTGTGTTCACTTCAAACACCTGAAACATGCCTGCTCATTAACTCTTCCTGGGGGCAGCCTACAGAGGGACACAGCTTGCCTTCCTGGAGGCCCTGGGCTGCCACCCTTTGGCACCACTTCCCTCAGTGTGCAGACTGTGGGGGACAAATCTGCAGTCAGGTATTCCAGCCCTAGCATCTTGTGATGCACCAAGAATGGACTGGTGGACCGCAAAGCCTGTGGAAAGCATGTCTGTCCTGACCCCAAGGGCTCTGGGTTCCCAGCGCATTGGCTGAGACAGGAGTTTGTGGCATCATTACAATCAGGAGCCATCTTCCTCCATAGGCTGAAGGGAGGCAGGCACTTTCCTAGCAGGTGTCTTGGAGGCACCAGCACCTGATGGGTTAAAGGAAGTTCAAGTTGCCATGGGTTTGGGGTTTTTTCCTTTTTTCCTTTTGGTTGCTGTAAGACCTGAGCAAACTCATAATTTTGACAGCTAACACGAATGATGCAATTCTTCCCTCTCTGATGGGACTGCAAAGCACGGATGACACCATTCCCAGAAGGCCCTTTTTTGCTAAATGATTTGAAAGCTATGCCTTCCTGTCCCTTGACTCCTGCAGGCCTGGGGTAAATAAGAAAGCCATCTGCATCCTCCCTGACTCAGAGGCAGGTTGGGAGGTGGTGGAGTGCAGCCAGCAAATCTGGCCAGGGTCCCTAGCCCCAGACTGGCTGGCAGGCCTCCCACAGGTTTGGGGTTTTGGACAAGGAATAGCCCTTTCAAAAACACTTCACAGAGAAACGTCTTGTATTGAAACCGCTTGGACTCTCTTCTAGTGAGACCTGACAATCCCAGACCATTTTCTCTCTTTTTACTGAAGCCTGACATGAGCGACCTTCAGAAGTTCATGCAGGCCCTTTCTGAGCACCTATGGGTTATTTTCTCACTTCCCCTAGCTGGTCCCATCTCTTGTCATGCTGCAGCCCTGACAGGGTTAAATGTGGCATTGGGAGGCCTCAAGGACGATGCTGCATGTTCTGCCTGGCAACAACCCTGCTGATGCAACTGGAGTTCTACCCGTGATACTGCACAGAGCAGTGGGGTTCAGGGGAGGGCACAGTGGAAGCCTGCTGCCAAGAGGGGAAAAAAAATGTGGCTCTGGAAACATAGGTAGACACAGTTACATAAGGCTGAGAACCTGGCCAGAAGTGGGAGGAGGACAGTGGTGCACAATGGGGTCAGTGGGTTTCTCCTGATATTACTATGCTTTTCTCCTCTCTCTGCATGACTCCAGTCCTTCTCTGGATGCTCTCACATGGGGTCTTCAGTCCCCCACCACCTTGTGGTGCACGTAGTCTCCCAGGGTTGAAGCATGAGCAGACAGCTCAGCATTTCATATTCTACAAATATGGCCAAGCCACCCCTTGTGTGGTGCAGTGAAAAAGGTGACCATACCTTGCAGGACGCATTTCTGCCAGCAAGGCAGCTGGCTGTCTTGACTGTCAGGACTTCTGTACCCCACTAGCCCTGACTAGCCTCCTTCCTGCAGTTTGCTCCTCTGTCTCAGCAGCTGTCCCCCACAGGTATCTTGTTGTATACCTCTTCAGCTCCCTCCTTCCCATGTAGCTTGAGCAATTGATTTTTGTCTCTTCCCAGAGGAAGGAGAAACTGGTGATGGCTTCAATGTTTTTTTGGTACTGCCTTGCTCCGATACCAGGACTACCCAGAGTCCTGTTTCTGTGAACAGAGGCCAAGCCAGCAGCAAGAGCAAGCAGTTCCCTTCTCCAGGACCAGACACAGCTAAAAAGCAGGACTGACAAATGGCTGCTTGAGTGGAGCATGGGCTCAAGCATCACTGCACTGACAAACCTGTATCAGGCTGCACCAGTAGCGTGCCCTGCACCCCTATTCAGGGTGCACTGTTCCAGCAACTGACACTCAACTGGTACTCTGCACAGAAATCCACCAGGATCAATAACAAATAATTTTACTAATTATCTCCTCGCATTTTCAGCAACTTCTGTCTGCTCCTTTCTGGCACTGGTACACCCCCAACGAGTTCAGGGCTGGTAGCCACAAATATGTGTATAGCCTAATCTCTGTTTGGTCTCTGCATTTCTAGTTGAATCAGCTTTTAATAACCAAATATGTGATTTTTAATTTTTTTTTAATCACTTTACTGTTATTCTCTCATTTAGATGAGCAAACAGCCATGAAGCCTCCTTGGCTCTCATGAATTTTGTGACTGCTTATTGATTACCACAGCATATTTATAATACTGCAGCAGGTTTCCTGAAATGCAAGAGACAAACCTTGCCTGTTACAGGTCAGGTCACATGGGCACTCTGAAAATGCACATATTCACAGTTAAATCTGCCTTGCACTGTGGACAGGGTTGCTGTGCTAAACCTACATATACCTGCATGAGTCTCTGATCAAACCATGATGATAGCTGTGCCTCCAGCAATCTTAATTGCCCAGCATTCACCTGAAATAGAGCTTAGCACCTGTTATCTCTTTGCATAATCAGAGCAGAAAATCGGTTCTAAAAGAAGCCAGCTAGGTTCTACAAAGCTGTGCAAACATTGTGTTTAATAGCCAGAAAGATAGCACAATCCACACAGAGTGACTCAAAGCCAGTAACTGACTGACTCAAAAATAGATAGTAGTTACTTCATCTGTCTCCTTGTGGTTAGGATCAATTTTGATTTTTTGATTTGAACTCAGAAATAAAAACCTGAAAGACATTAAAAGGCAAATAGCACAGTCTAGCTATAGATGCCTCGTTCTGGAAAAGTAGCCTGTGTACAGCAAGCGGTTTGCAGAGTGCTCTTGCCACCTATGTGAGCTGCACTTTGGAAAGGGGAGCAACTGGCACCTGGGGCCTGTCTGATCTCTGCACCTCTTTTGAAAGTGGAACAAGGTGGCTCTCACCACACATGAATGCAGGGCGTTGCACTAGGGATAGCGATATGCTGTTTAGGCTCCTGGTAGAGCTCTCTTCTGCAGGCCCTGGGTCAGGCTGAAAGCACCTGCACTAATACACCTGCCTTAATGAGCACTGCCTCTCATAATTGCAATTTCCCTCTGTCAAGAAAACTAGGGGATGTAAAAACCAAATGCTTTCACAACCATGGCATCTTGTGGGCCTCCCACAATACCAGTGTCTGTAAATGAAGTGCTGCAACCCGATACTAGCTGTGCTGGGCAATCCAGATCGCTCTCCCCAGCCACAGGCCATTGCACTGCTGGGGAGGGTATGGAGTCCAGCAGCTGTGAGAGCCCTCGCGCACTCAGCCTGGGCGCTAAATCCCTTAGAAGCATGCTGAGAGACAGAGTGCACTCCAGGTTTGTGGAGAGCTGGAAGCACTGGTGAGCTACAGGCCCGACAGCCACAGTGAGACACTTGCAGGCCCTATTACAGATGCTGAGAGGAATGCTCCGCACAATGTGAACATTAGTGGCTCCTGGGTACAGGCACGGTGAAGAGAAACACCTTGTCCAGCCTTGCGTTTTGCTTACACCCAGGTAAACATTATGTTAGTGCATACCCTGTGTTTGAGTTGTGACTTCAGAGACTTGAGCTGTTGCATGCTTTGTTGTGGCCGCTGCCCCCTTGATGGCCTTGAAGCCACAGGGACAGTGACCAGCCAATGAGGATGGGATGGAAAGGGGCACGGTGGCTCTGCAGGGCAAGGCGACACCATCAGCTTGCAGTGGGTGGGGTGGGCAGCACTAGGCACCTCCTTCTCTCAGAGCACAGACAGGCCAGCCCCTCCCCTCTCATAACTGAATTTGAGCCCCAGTGATGGAAACCAACCATCTGCCCAAACAATCGGCTCCAACAACAACTTATCCTCTCCTTACAAAGTGGTGGATTCAGTGTGTGTATTGCCTTTGTGGGGGGGATGGCTATATCACATCTCTTTTGCTTCAAGCTAAGCTCAGTGCTTCCTGACCATGCCAGCGGCAGATAGGGAGAACAAAATATTCTCGTCCTCTTGACAGCAGCTTCTTACAAGTTTGTAAGTTGTTAAGACACCTCCCTATTAACAAGCTTGCAGGTTGTTAGCAGACACCAGTTCCGTCAAATAAGTAGACTGAGATCAGTCTTTTTCTCATAGGTTGTATTTCTAGAGCTTTCTTTTGCTTTCCTCTGGATCCCCTCCAGCTGATCAACTTGCCTCTGCAAACACAGTGTGCAGGACTAGAGGCCTAATCAGCACTGAAGAGGGTAGGGGGGGAAGCAGAAGAATTTCTTCACGTGTCCAACATGTGACATTCCTGTTTATACACCCTAGCAATGTTAGTTTTTTTCGCAACAGGATGACATTGTGGACTTGAGTTCAGTTTGTCATTCACAATAACCTCCAGTTCTTTTCTGCAGCACTGCTGCATCGTCATCGTGCTGCGCTCATTGTTCCTGTGATTATTTATTTATGTGGGACAGTCAATAAATCTGGCTGTGGTGTTCAGCAGTGATTGTGCTGCAACTCCCAGCTGCCTCACACTGGAGAAATATGAGACAGTTCGTGACTTGCTCCCTCCACTTCACCCTCCAAGTTCCCGGGGAGGGCTCTGAACCGGGTCAGAGCTCTTGACCCATGGCAAGACCCAGGCCAGGCCCTTCCCTCGCCATAGTGCACCAATGACATCAGGAGCAGCCAGAAACAGAAGAGCCAAAAATTTAAAAAAATTAGAAAGAGAAGCCAAAGCAGAGGTAAAGATTAGTTACAGTGGCCTTGGCTTCCTGTTGCTCTCTTCTGCTGATGGCTACTTGTTGCAGTGAGAATAGGAACCCAGAAGACAAGGCTGACCGAGCTCAGCTGTGGTACTTTGAGCAGGAGTGACGCACAGCATTTTTTTAACATTTCTCAATATAGCAACAGAAAGAGAGTAAGATTGACTCAATTCTCTAATACCTTGAAGTTTGTACCTCACTCATTAGCAGCAAACACTCCAGCAAAACACTGAATGCATCACCAAATCAATAGAGCTGTGCTTCCCAGCTCTGTCGTTGAACAAGTAATTCCAGTACATCACAAACGCCAAAGAAAGCTTCCGCTCAGGTTACTGGATGACCAGCAGCAAGAGTCTGCACAAGAAATACTTATTTCATCCCTTCTTGTGACTCATGATTATTCAACTTAGTTGTTCATGTCCCTCTCATGGCAGCTAAAAGCTCTACTAAGCAAAATGGCACTGCCCACGATCCTAAAAGCATACAAAGGGTTGCTAAAGCTTTTAAGCTCATCGTATACGTGGCAGCAAGGAAGCCTAGGTTCTGGCACATGAACATGAGTGCACACTAAAAGGTGTGTGCAACAGCCTCATTGCTGAGCATCTGCACTGTCTCCAGGGCCCTTGTCCTACGCTCCTTATGCTCTCCACATTACCTAACTTACCACCATCATACAACTCCTGCCCCCTCTATCTGAACTGGGGATTGAACAGACTTCTTTAGCTCTGCAGTTTCTTATCCTAAAACTAAGTAAATTTTAAGATGAGTTTTCAGATCTGTCCTTCATAGAGTCAGGTAAAATGTTGAGAAAAGTGTTTTCCTACAGTGCTGGGGTGCACAAGTACTACAGTTTATAGGTGTCTCACAGTATCAATCTATAAGGTTGTTGCTGTTGCTCCTGCAAGGACAGAAGGGTGAAGCAATCTTACTATTGCCATCAATCTTACAGATGGAGGAGATGTATTTCTGCCTCTTAGTGACAAATTTGGACCTGTGGGGGCACATATTCAGACACTGTGTCTGAGATTTCATGGTGTAACCCTGTTTCCCTAAAAGTTTCTGTTTTCCTAAAAGTAACAAATATTTCTTTGCAATGCTAGAGCTTTTCTAGGCAGCGTTCGGTCAAACTCTTGAATAAAAGCATTCGCTCTGGCCGTGGAGTTTTCTATGCTTCCCTCTGTGTTTCCAAATTGTCCCGCTGTTTATTTTTTTTCCCCCATCTCAATGCCTTTCCTGAATCAGCTCTGCCCTTACCAGCCCTGAGAAATGCTGACACTTGTGCATGGGTGAGATCCTGGGCACTTGCCTTCACTGCAGCAACCACCAATAAACAAAGGAGCAATGCATCGCCTCCTCTGCTGGAAGGTAATGGCTGTGCTCAGCAGCCTCCTGGGATGGGATGGCAGCCAATCCCACCAGGCAGCAGGACATTATTGTGCACAGGACAGCCAGTAAAAAGGTCACATCATACTGTCTGAACAGACACAGAAGGGGTCCATTTGGTTGTGTATCGATAAATCAAAGGTAATGGGTCTAAAGAAAATTACCTGAACATGGCCTGCAGAGTGCTGAACCGGAACCTGGTAGTTGCACTGTGGACAAATCCCCAGGTGTTAATGGCTGTACTCTGGAGAGGCAGGTTCCGTGTGCCAGGGCAGCTAGAGAAGCAACAAAAATGCCGTGCATTGCCAGGAGCAGCACAGGCCAAGGCAGAAGCAGTTGTTCTGCTGTGATATGGAACCCTGGTGCACTCGTGTCTTGCACGCTGCATGGAACTGTAGTCACCGACCGCATCACACGATGGATTTACGATAGATTTAGGAAGGTCCAGAAAAGGCCAGCTGATACAACAGAGGGAATGGTGCCACTGCTGGGCGACGAGAGACTAAAAAGGCTGGGACTTGGGTTGAGAAGACAACAGAGAGGTAGGACTGAGTTTTGCAGAGGCATGAGGTGGCAGACAAGCTGAATGCAGAGCACCTTCACCAAAACCCACAGCACAGGGAAAAGCGGCACTTGTGAGAACTGGTCGGTACTCAGTTTCCAATAGGTACAGGTACTTGTTATACGGCAGGCGGGGAACTGCAGGACCTCGTCGCCATGACGGGGATCGTGTCCTTGAGAACGTCAAGGGAGCGGGCACGATCGCGGCCGACAGGTCCGTCAGCGGTGCCAGAAGGAGCGGGCGGCCACGCGCCCTCTCTACGCTCCACAGGGCGCGGCAGGGCCCGGCGCCGGTCGCCGCCCCTGGGGGACAGCGCTGAGGCGAGCCCCGGGCGCCCGGGGCCGAGCTCGCCTCCGCCCGCGGCGCGACCCCACGCCGCGCCGGCACTAGCACCGAGCCCCGCGGCCCGCGGCCCGGCCCGGCCCGGCCCGGCCCGGCCCTCTGCCGGAGCAGGGCCGCGCCGTGCCACGGCAGGGCGGAGCAGCCCCCGCGTCCCGCGGACGGGCCTCACCCGGGCGGGCGGGCCTCACCCGGGCGGGCGGTGCGGGGGCGGAGGGGCGGGGCGGGGCGGGCAGGCGGCCGTGAGGAGCCGGGGCGGGAGGGCCTCGAGGACCCAGGCTCGGCGGAGAGGGGCGGGCAGGCAGCCATGAGGGGCCCGGGCGGGGGACGGGACGGTGCTCAGCGGGACGGGCAGGCGGTCGTGAGGGGCCCGGGTGGCGGAGCGGGGCGGGCAGGCGGCCGAGAGGGGCCCGGGCGGGGGACGGGACGGGGCGGGTCGCTGCTATCCCCGTCGCCGTCTCCTGTCAGCGCCGTGCCCGAAGCGAGGCCGGAGGAGCCGCCGGGGAGCCGCGCCGCCGCGCCGGGGCTGCTGGAGTGCCGCCGCTGCCAGTACCTGCGCACGGACAGGGGTGAGCGGGGCGGGCGGGGGCCCCTCCCCTTGTGCCGCCGGCCCGGCGCGGCTGCCCCGCCGGGGCCCCCGCGCCTGTTCCGGCAGAGGCTCCTGCCTGGTTGCCCGCTGCGGCTCAGACCCGCCTTGCCCTGCCCTGCCCTGCCCTTCCCTTCCAGCTTGCTGCCAGATGGTGGGAGCGCTGCTCGCCGTGCTGATCCTGGTCTGCAGCTCCGTGTCCAGCGGCCCGGCGGGAGGCTACACGGGCCTTCCCGGCCTGGGGAGCGTCTACTACTACCAGTACGGCGGGGCTTACAGCGGCTTCAGTGGAGCAGACGGGGAAAAAGCCCAGCAGCTTGACCAGCGTTTCTATCTACTAAAGCTGCCAATTGCGAGGGCAGCAATGGCTGTGGGAGGGTGTCTGGTGGTCTTCTCTTTCGTTCTTATTTTGCTAGGTGTTCTACAGTTACCATGGCATTTCCCAGCATGGCTGCTACTTGAATGCGTCCTGAACACAGTGATTGCAATTGGCATAGTGCCTGCTCTGTACTGTTTCTTTCATTTTCTGCTCGGGGTTTATAGTTCATCAGTGTGCAGAGAGAGAGAGCAGCTTTATCAAAGTAAAGGCTATCAGGGATTTAGGTGCAGCCTGCATGGGGCAGAGATTGCTGCTGGCCTCTTGGGCTGCATAGCTGTCATGGCATACCTACTTAATGCAGGCCTAGCAGTCAGGGGGTACAGAACCGTTCGTGAACTGAAAGAGAAGCCAGTACAATTATACGAGCTTTAGAATGATTCCTCCACTCCAGTAATAGTCATTATTTTTGCCAGTGTCCTTACTGAGACAAAGCAGTATGCTTTTCTTTGCTTCTGGGCCGTGCATCCGTAATGCAGTAGAACACACACCGAGAGAGTATACGGTGGAGTCGAGCTGTTCCTAACTTGAATTTGCATTATTGAATTATTAGTGGACACACAGTCTCATGGCTCGTCTTCAGGTGGTGGCTGTCTCTTAGTAGGGCATGACTGTAGTCATGTGGTTGGCTAGCAAGCTGCCTGCTCCACAAGTAGCCTTTCCTTCCGTTCTGTCAGGTGTCTTACTCCCCTCCAGCGAGGTTTTGCTACAAGTGCTGCTACTACACACTTCTGCTTAACAGCTTTCTGTTGCTGAAACTCTTTATAAAGGGCTCGTGACTTCACTGAGAACAGAGCTCAAAGCGATCAAGGCCTGTGGCTATGGCAGCTAGTTACTGCTTCTTGTAGGTCTCTTGGAACTAAGAGGGCATTTTGAACGTCGCGTTTATAAATCCATCAGAGAATCCTGAAATAAACTTGCAAGATGATAAGTACACTCAACGTAATTTGTGACACAATGCCTTTTCAAACTCTCCTGGAGAGGGCACCTTTTTTTTTTTATGAAATGGACTTTTATATAACTTGTATACAATAGTTTTGTTTAAAGATGGCGAGCTGGGATAATCAGACAAAAGCTTTAAGAACTCAAAGAGGTGGTTTAAGATAGACGTATATTGTTTTCAGAATACATTTTTAATGTACAAGTTGGGGAAATGAGATGCTGCTCTTCTTTTATATATTAAAAAAAAAGATGAAATCTATTTATTTTTTCACCTTTTCTAGGAAATTTAACAAGGAAAAGAAAAGTAGCACTGGAATCGCAAAATCATGCCTCAGAATGAAATGTCACTTCAGAGCAGTGCCCAGTCTGTGCATTGTCCATATGAAGATGGAACCACCACTGGTCTCACAGACCAGTTCTGCCCATATTAAAAAAAATACCAAACCCAAAACCTCAAACACCAAACTAAATATACCAGAAATGTGCTTTGTCTTGGATGTATCTCCAGTTTCACTGGCACCAGTGACTAATCCTCACAATTACCAAAACCATGGAACAGCGTTGGAATTAGAGATACAGAAGTAGAACAAATGCTGAATAGGAACACACTAGGTACTCTGGGGTATGTTTGGTATTTCATCCCTTTTAGTAGCTAGATGCATTAAGTGTCTCAGCACAGGGATTGATGTAGACAGTCCACTGTGGTCCTATTTCTTTTAATGATTCTGTATTTCCTGCTTGCTGCAGCTCTTTCTAGAGAGCTGTACAGTACTATTTAGAGCAAGTTCACAGGGCAGAATTCCTCTGGCAGGATAAAGAAAGCTGCCCGGTAACTGGTGTTATGAATTCCACCCTCAGAGTGTTCTGCAAGTAGGTTCTGTATGGAAGGCTGATGAGTGAAGTAGTACACAGCTCGATGAAGGAGAACCTACAGCACAGCCACCGCTAGCCACAGCTATATTTGATGGGGATATTGCACAAATTCCCTCCAGTGCAGTAATGGAATCAGAATATATACTTAGATGAAAGTAAAAGTCTTTATTGCTAGGTCAGCTGAAAAGTTGATGCAAAAATACTCCTCCTTCCTGGTCTTCTCTATACATCTGAATAAAGAATCAATGGAATAGTGTTTTCCAGCAATCTTACGCTATTTGCCTCTCCAAAGCAATACAAACAGAGGCCACAGCGCTGAAGGTGCATTCCTTGGACAACCTATTCCCATAAACAACAAAAAAGGGGATTATTATAGGTGGATGCTAGATTGGGATACAGAAAATACTCTCCTTCTTAAAACAAAAGATTATTTAATAAATGGTATGCTGCAATATTTCTTTAACATGCACTGGGTGATATGAGTCAAGTGAAAAAAAAGTTAACATTTTAAAATGTGAAAAAAGAGAAATACACTTGAGTCCTCAGACAGCAGTGGAACAGTAGACAACAACTGCACAAAACCAAAGAGGTGAACCTACTGCCTGAAGGTGGCCTTTGGCAAGTGACATGAAAGCCATCTCCATCTGGAAGGAGTGAAGAAACTCCTGAAGTCCAAGGGCCTTAGGTATGGCTGAATGGTCTGCGTACCAGGAGGAGGATTTCAGGCTTCACAGCAGCCTGTCCCCAAGAAAGGGAAATACTTGCTCCTTCTTGGAACAGGATTTTACCCTCCCATCCAGTTGAGGATTCTGATCAGGTCCCAGCTATCTGTGGCGCTGCCTCCGCTGGGCCTGTTCCTGGTACTGTGAGCAACTTGGAGGCTATCCCTTATCCTTAATACTTGGGCTCCAACTACTCATCACTGGATACAACCTTTGCGGAAGCCTTTCTAGACAGGACAGGTCAGTGCCTTTAGAGTACCTGTTCTCAGTGAGCGTGCTCATTGTCAGAGCCAGAATTACTGAAGGGATGGACAAACTCACCAGCGTAACCTGATTGTGGCTGCATGGAGCATCACAGGTCTGGCACTGTGCAGCAGGGACAAGAGAGCCTGATGACCCCAAGCTGAGAATCTCTCTTTAATAGCAATCCTCTGTTAAGGAATGGGACATTCTTAGTGACGTGGCTCTGCGGAGGTGAGGTATGTGTGCAAGAACCACAAACAAAAATCAGGGAAGAGATGAGAACATGAAGAGAACAGGGAAAACACTTTCTATCCCCTGCTACGAGTCCTTCATAGCTAGGCATATGCTCGCCCATTCATACCTGTTCCATCTACATCAGTGCTCCTAGGGAGCTTGAAATCTAATGTGGTGTTAACAAGGTGAGGAAGGCAAAGGAGAAGCTCGCTGCCTCTAGGGAGGCAGGAAAACAAAAAGCAGTAGTGGAGGGAAGCACTCAGACTGTGCTGCCCGGAGTAAGACAAACAGTTCATAACATCAGCCTAAGCAGAGAAAGCTGCTGTGGATGCTACCTAATGTAAGAGAAAACCCCATGTGCTGCCATGACAGTTCACACCTATAGAAAATAGAAGCTGGCTGTATTAAACTCCCTTTCTGCTTCAAAACCAGAAACAGCACTGGAGAAGGCTAAGCAGGAATTCCTTGCATTCCATTCCGCCACTACCATGAAGAACAGCTCAGAAATCTGCATGCTCCATTGCAGAGCTTTATTTTACTTAGTCTGTCCCAATTGAGCTAGGTAGAGCCATTCATGACTAACTCCCTGTGGCAATGCCAACTCTCCATGCAGTGATCCTGGTTTGGACTAGCAAGGACACACTGCATTTTCCACATCAGTGCAAGAAATAGAGACCTGATTTGCATTAACATCTGCCACCCTCCTAGTGCAAGGTTTGTCACAGTCTTACTCAGAAAGAAGACTCTATTTCTGCATCAGTCCCAAACTGAGCAAAGGCTGCTTTGCAGCCCTGTTAGGTATCAGAAAGTGTTGGGCTGGGCACAGATATTTGGTAAAATTATCACCAGTGACAGAATTAAAAGTTACAGTCAAATACATTGGAACAAGCCTTTTCTGCATACTTATATGAAGAGAACGTGAAAGAGGTTTGGGGTTTAGTTTTTGATTCTTTTCTGCTGTTGTTTCTCTGCCTAAGGGATTCAAATGCTGCTGTTTCTGTGATTCTAAGAATTAGCTTTTCTCTCAATTTCCAAATGAAACAGGCATTTAAGCAGCCAAAATCTGTGAGTTTAAACTCTGGGAAAAGTTGGGTTGTTTTATGATTACATTCTAACTAACACAAGGTATATACCAAAATGTTGCTCGTTCATGCATGGTAAAAATACACTCTTTTTTCCCAGTGAGAAAATCATCAAGGTGCTTTGAAATCTCAGTAAAACTCCAGTAGATTTTGTCAAAAGATCTATATTGACAGAATTCCACAAGTAGTCTGCACAGCATTTCCTTCTGAGCAAGGCCTCAATTTGATCCAAAAATATACAACTCAAGCCCCTTGGAGCTCTTGAGAAGAAACTTCCAAGTTTTCTTCATAAATACAATAAAGAAGAAAAGGCACTAGCCCACATTACAGTCAGGATTATTGCACCACTGACATGACCGGGGCAGCTGCTGTCCAGCTCTCTGCCAGCTAAGGGAGACAGATCTGCACACTACAGGGGCAGTGGTCTTTTCAAAACCCTTACACAAGACAATGACACAGGCAGCCAATTTTCACCCTGCACCAAAAATCCTAATGGAAACACAATGCATCTGCTGAGTGCAGACTGGCCAGTTCACCATCAGCGGGACTGTTTTAAACATCTTTTCCAGTGCTGATAAAGATGTTATTAAGGTAAAAAGTTGTATTTTTCTTTTGCATTGAAAGCTAAGCAGAAACACGTATGCTTTCACCCTGTTTGTGGCCAAATTGGGCACATACCATGAAATGCGGGTTGCTGTGGATTTGGAATATGACTCCGGTTTTCATAGGCAGGCAAAGATGCTGTAGCTGACAGCGCAGAGGTTTATGTTGATGGAACAGAGCACTGAACACTTCCCCAGCATATGAAGGGCAGTCCCACTGCTCGCTAGCCTTAGAGTGGCATACTGCTGCTTACAACTCGGTTTCCTCTTACACCAAGTACCTCACTGTAACAAGCGTGAGCTCCTGTTTTCATCCCTTGTCTTCTGGATACAGGAAGCCTCTACTGTGAAGAACCCATGATGGAGGTGGCCAAGTTGCTGACGAGCTGGGTCTGTGCTCTGCAGCTAGAAGCACTAGCTCTACACATTACCTTAATCAACCAGTCTAGAGCTGATCTTTGCTATGCTCCAGTAGGCACCTGCTTATCACTCAGCTGTGTATTTTCCAATCCCGCACAGGCTGATCCCAACATAACCCTCATTCTATCATGCACCAGTGCTCATCAGAGCATCGGTACCCTGAGTCCTCCACTGCCCTCACAATATCCATTGGGAAAAGCCCCCATCACACCTGCTGTGGAGTGCTCTCTCCCCTAACCCTAAATAATAAAGTGCTGGGCTGAAGGGGAACAGAACAGCTTAAGTGCAATCAATAAAAGTGCTTGCAGTTACTGTAGGAAACCATTCTTAGGTCAGCTTCATTGCAACTGGCTGTATTCTTTCAAGGAATAACAAAGTCAGTGGGGGTGGGGAAGCTGCATCGGAAATATTCACAGGACTCCAAACATGGAACATTGCCCCCTCAGCAGCCTCCTCACCCCACACGCACATATGCCAGCCCCTTTCCTGCAGAGCTGGTAGAACCTCAGGGTTCAAGGAGTTACAGGCAGGTGTTGGAACACCTGCCTTCTTCCTAGTGCTTGCACAATTTCCAGACAACCCCTAACAGAGAGCTCAGCTGCTGGTCTGAGTGCTCATAGAACAACTGAGACTCTACAGTGAAAAGTGGACAGCCCAGACCTTAGCACTCCCAATTCTTCCTTGACTCCATTAAAGCAGCAGCAGATGCCTGTACTCCTTGCAGATCCCATCTCCCCTTGGAGGGCAAGACAGCCCTTATGGGACAGGGCTTCCTGGGTCAGACAACATAGGAGCAGTACTTGCAGGGTTACAAAGCTGTGTC